GGCTCCTAACCTAAGCTCGGCCGATCTCGCGATCTCGCGGGTCCTCTCGATCTCGCGGGTCATCTCGCGCTCTCCCGTGTCCCACGCTGCCGAGCGGGTGCAGCGGCGGGCTCGCAAGATGCTGGCGAAAGCGAGGCTGCGCGAGGAGGCGAGAGATATGGGGGAGAGATGGGGAGAGATGGGGCGATATGGGCGGAAGGGAGGCTGCGCGCGGAGGCGAGAGAGGACCGGAGATTGCCGGAGATAGCCGGACAGATTGCCACCCACACAAATTCTGGGGGAGGGGGGGGGGGGGGAGGGGGGGGGAGGGGGGGGGGGACAAAACCCACCCCGCCCTGTGCGCTTCAAGGCCCGGCCCTTGCCCCAGGCTACCGCCGTGTGGTGGTGGTGTGGGGAGAGAGGTGTAGGTGTGGGTGTGTGTGCCTGACCTCTCCCCTTCTCGATTGCCACTCTCCCCCACCCCGCGTCTCAAGGCGACCCGCCCGCGGCCAACCGACGCACTGGGGCGGCGGATGCACCTCGACTCGGCAGCCACCTCCGCCTCTCGCGCCGCGCGCAGTGGCTGTGAACAGAGCCTCCTCACGCCGCCGAGCCAGTGAACAGGCCATATCTCCCCATATCTCCCCATATCTCGCCATATCTCCCCATATCTCCGAGCCAGTGAACAGGCCCCGCCAGCTGGAGGAGGCAGACACGCGCTGCTGCCGTGAACAGCGCCTCTTCACGGCCGCGCGCGCCTGTGAGCAGGCCATCCTCGACTTTTGCGTGGAGCAGTGCCGCAAGTGGCTCTCGCCTCCAAAGTCTCGCCCCACCGCCCGCCCCGCCGCTTTCGGCGCGCCTGCGCCCGCCGCGCCGCCGCCGTCCGACGTGGCGCCGGCAGACGAGCAGCCGGTGCCAGAGCCGGTGCTCGGGCTGCTGCGGATCCCTCTGGGCGAGAGCGGCTGCCACGAGAGGGCGGTCGCCGCCGTCGCCGCCGGCTCGGACCTGCTCTCGGAGCTAGAGGCGCACGCGCACGCACTCGCCGGCGAGGTGGGCGGCGCCCCCCCCCCCCCCCCCCTCCCACACCCCGCACGCGCCGCTCCCCCCACGCGCACCGGGCCGCCTTGCACGTTTCAATGCACGTTTCAATGCTCCTGCCTTCTGGGCGTGGAGTCGCGAGGGGTTTCTGGCCCTCGCCCCACCACGCCACACGCTGGTGAGTGGGGAAGCGTACCTCACAGCCCCCCCCCCCCCCCCCCTGACCTTCCTTAGACCGGCGCCTCTCCCTCCGCGGTGCTCTGCCGGCTCTGGCAGCAGCTGCTGACCTCTGAGGCGGGGCACGCCGAGGACGAGCCGCACCAGGCCGACCGCGCTGGCCGCCCCGACGCGAGCCGGAGGAGCCGGGGGTGGGGGACCGGCCGTGGCGACGCTGCAGCGCCACCGCTTGCCGCGCTCAGGCGCGCGCATTGCACGCACACACTCGCAGACGAGACGCACGTGCACACCGGCACACGCACGCACGCACGCACGCACGCACCGCTCACGCACTGGGTTTTGCACTCTGAATGCCGTGCGGCTTCTGTCTTTGGACACAGAGCCCCCCCCCCCCCCTAGAAGGCGGAGCTGCGCCAGGCGCTGGTGTGGCACGAAATCCAAGGCGCGTTGAACTATTTCAAGAACCACGCGTTCTGTTGGCAAGAACTCCGT